TTTCAGAACTCACTGAGTTGTTCAGAAGTACCATCCTGAATGCTCTGTCATTTAAGTCACATATTTCCATGTCTGTAAGCTTATTGTCTGGAGATTTTTCTCTTTTTTTTTCTGAGATGCCTTGTCACCTTGGTTGTTCATGGTGTTTAATGGACTATTTCTCTGCCTAGACATTAATGGAAGTGTATTCTACTGTTTTTCCAGAAAAAAAATTTATTATATAAAGGTCTCTCTTTAGCCTTTTGCAAAGAAGGTGCTCTTTTTATTTTGGTTTCCAGTAGGTGGCATCTAAGCCTCTTGAATCTCTGCTTTATATAAAGTCTTAATTTCATCTTTTAAATTTTCTTGTAGATATTTAATCACTCTTGCTACCCTCAGTTTCAGTCTCTGTCAGTGTCAGTGACAGTCTTGGCAGCATTTGCTCAGATTTTTCTGGGGCTCCGCAGTGATCGGTCTCGGAGTGTATGGGGGGAGGGGCACTCTGGGTTGGGGATTGGGGGTTGTGGCTCAGCTTCAGTTTTGCAACCTCAGCCAGCAAAAATCAGCTATTGTTCCTCTGCAATCCCATCCTGCTTCTCTGCTTTCTGTCATGGTGACTGGGCCTTGCAGCCACAGCTATCCCAGGCAGCAATGTTCAGGGAACTTGCTGCAGGAACTCACCACTCCTTCTCCCCTCCCCCTCCTCCTGCAGGGAGCTCCAGTGGCTGCAGAGTGGCAGCTTCTTTATTACTCCTGGTTCGCTGCCCAACACCCAGGTTCTGACCTGTTGTAGCTCTTAAGCGCAGATCTCACGCTCAGATTTGTTTGTGTGCCATTTGGGTGTTTTTTGTTGCATTTTAGATGTTCAGCTTATTGTTGTTTCAAGGAAGGAGATCTGGGGATGTCTTTCATTCTGCCATGTTTTCTCAATTCGTCAATGAGTTTTTTTTCAATTATAGTTGGCATATAATAATGTACCAGTGTCAGTTGTACAGTGATCAGTGATCCACATAACACTTAAAGCAACCACCCCACTAAATCTAGTACCCCTCTTCCCTGCTACATATTTATTACAACATTATTAACCATCTTCCCTATGCTACACTCTACATCTCCATGTTTATTCTGCAGTTATCCATTTGTACCTCTTAATCCCTTTGTCTTTTTTCATTGTTCCCCCAATCCCCCTCTTATCTAGTAGCACTCAAAGTATTCTCTGTATCTATGAGTTTATTTCTGCTTTTGTTGTTGTTTATTTTGTTTTTAGATTCCACATATACGTGAAATTGTGTGAAATTTTCTTTATCCGATTTATTTCATTCAGCTTAATACCCTCTATATCCATCAAGGCAATATCTTTTTCCATCCCCTTCCTTTTAATCTGTGTGTGTCATTTAATCTGAAGTGAGTCTCTTGTAGGCAGCATGTGTAGGGATCTTGTTTTCTTATCTATTCAGCCACCCTGTCTTTTGGTTGGAGCACTTAATTCTTTTCCATTCAATGCAGTCGTTGATAGATATGTAGTTATTTCCATTTTTTATTCATGATTTTGATACATATTTTGTTTTTTCTTAAAGATATTCCTCCAATATTTCCTGTATACTGGCTTGATGTTGATAAATTCTTTTAATTACTTTTGTCTGGGATCTCTTAATCTGTCCTTCGACTCTGAATGAGAGCTTTTCTGGATAAAGTATTCTCGGTGGTAGATCCTGGGTTTTCATCATTTTGAACATTTTCTACCAATTCCTTCTGTCCTGCAAAGTTTCTTTTGAGAAATCAGCTGCCAGTCTTATGGGTCCTCCCTTGTAGGTAACTAACTGCTTTTCTCTTGCTGCTTTTAAGATTCTCTCTTGTCTTTAACCTTTAGCATTTTAATTATGATGTGTCTTGGCGTGGGCCTCTTTGTGTTCCTATTTCTTGGGACTCTCGGAGCTTCCTGGGGTTGTATGTCTATTTCCTTTACCAGCTGAAGGAAGTTTTCTATCATTGTTTCTTCAAATAGCTTTTCAGTGTCTTGTTTTCCTTCAGGTACCCCTAAGACATGGATATTTTTACATTTAATAGCCTTCCATAGGCTTCTTAAATTATTATTATAGTCTTGGCTTCTTTTTTCTTGCCCTTCTGATTGAGTGTCCTTGGCTTCCCCATCCTTTATATCAGTGGTTCGATCCTCTTCTTTATCCACTCTGTTGATTTCATCTAATATACTCTTGATCTCAGATAAGGTGTTCTTCATTTCTGACTGATTCCGTTTTATAATTCCCACTTCCATTTTTATGTTTTTTTAAATCTTTTTGTTAAAGTTCTCATTGAATTCATCTATATTTCTCCTAAGTTCATTGAGCATCTTTATAACCAGTGTTTTGAACTCTGCATCTGTTAGATTACTTGATTCCATTATATCTATCTTTGTTCTGTTCTCTCATATGGTTTCTGCTTCTTTGTCTTCACATTCTGGCTACCTTTCTGTGTCTTTTCCAATGTACTAAACAAAGCTCCTAAGTTTCACAGTCTCATTAGTGTGGTTTTGTGTAGTAGGTGTCCAGTGGCACAGTCCTGAGAGAGTTTCAGCTGCAGACCACGTTTAGCTTTAGCCTGTGCCCCTCCAGGGCCACCTGTTGAGATTCAGCAAGCAATCCATAGATGCTGTGCTTACAGTTGCCTCAAGAAACCACACCAGAAACTGAGGCCAGCTGCCACCAGTGTGGGTTTTGGAGCTGGTCAGCAAGGAGCACCAGACTTGCGGAGGATAGAATTGGATGTGGCTTAGGAGGGGCCATGAGTTATGGACAGTGGAGTTTCAAGGAATCCTCTGGGCAGAGCAACCTCTGTTATCCAGTTTGATGATATCTCAGCTATGGTGGTGCTGTGTCCACACACTGGGGACAGGGAAGACTCAACAGAGGAACAATGGATACCACCAGGCACTTCTCTCTGGGAGTGAGCTTCCCCTCAGGCCTGCATTCCAACATCTAAGTGCCCCCTGTAAGTACTTATTGCCCCCAATTAGCTGTCCAGGTGCTGGTGCTCAGAGCGAGCAGGTCTATCACCACGAAAGTCCTCTTGCAGACTCGGCCACTTTAAGAAGCATCTGCAGCTGCCAGCTGCCGCTGCTGCAGCCTCTGTCCCTCTCAGCCACTTGGGACTAGGTAGGCTGCGTCTTGTCCCCTCCTATCTTCTACCATGCAGGCTGATTAATTATTTCTCTCCCTAGTTGTAGTGCTTCTGTTTGTCTAGATCCCAGGTGACTTTCCTGGCCATTTGCTCTATGTTTCTGTCAGAACTTTGATTTGGTTGCAAGAGGGATGAACAAAGCCTCTATCATCTATGCAATTTTTTTTTTGCCTCCATGATATATTGCTTTTGTTTCAATTCGGTTCCAAACATTTTCTAATTTCGCTTGCAATTTCTTCTATGGCATGTTGATTATTTAGAAGTGTATTGTTTAACTTAAAATTTTATTGATTTCTCAAATTTCTTTTCGTTGATTTATAATTTAATTTCATTGTGATTGAAGGACATAGTTTGTATGATTTTCATTCTTTTAAGTTTATTGAATCTTGTTTTATGATCTAGCATATGTTCTATTATCAAGAATTTTCCATATATACTTGAAAAGAATGTATATTCTGCTGTTGTTGGATAAGGTGTTGTATTGATGTCATTTAGGTCAAGTTGGTTGATAGTGCTGTCCAAGTCTTCTATATCTTTTCTGTTTTATGTCTATTCTATCCATTATTGAGAATGGGCTATACAAGTGTTATTTATTGTTGAATTATCTGTGTGTCCCCTCAGTACTGTCAGTTTCTGCTTCATGTAGTTTGGAATTCTGTCGTTAGGCATGTATATATTTATAATTATTTATCTTCCTTATTAATTGACACTTATTATCATTTTTAAAATTTATTTTTTTAAATAGTCACCGTGCTGTGCATTACGTCTCCGAGACTTATTTATCTTATAACTGGAATGATACTTTTATAATTATAAAATGTCCTTCTTCATTTGTAGTAATTTTTTTTTGTCTTAATGTCTATTTTGTCTGTTACTAGTATAGTGACTTTAATCTCTCTTATAGTTGTTATTTGCATGGTATATTTTCTCATACTTTACTTTAAAACTATTTGTATCTTTGAATCTAAATGTGTCTCTTGTATACAGTATATAGTTGGAACCTGTGTTATATCCAGTCTGACAATGTATACCTTTTGATTTGAGAATTTAATCCTCTTATTTTTAATTGAAATTTTGATTGAGATAATTGTATATTCACATGTAGGTCTAAGAAATAATACAGTGTGGTTCCTGGTACACATTGCAAAACTACAGTATAATATTACAAGCTGAATATTGACATTGATATGATTCACAGCTCTTATTCAGATTCCCCTAGTTCTATTTGTATTCCCGTGTGTGTGTGTGTGTGTGTGTGTGAAAGTGGAGGAGGTGGCTTTATTAAACCCTATGCAATTTTATCACCTGTCTAGGTTAGCTTATTCACCACCACAGTCAAGAATCCAAGCGTTTTAAACACCACAAGGATCCCTCATGTTGCCCTTTTGTAACCACCCTTAGTCCTCTGTCACCACCACCTTTGCCCCTCCATGACTCTTGGTAACTACTAATCTGACCTCTATTTCTAAAATTTTCTTATTTCAAAATGTAGATAAATGGAACCATGAATTATGTAATCCTTTGGGATTGGATATTTTTGCTGAAAAAAAAATGCAGCACTATGAATTTCCATGTCATCTTTGCATGTGAGCCATGCTAATATTCTCTGTCTCATTGCCATTTTGTGTATTTGTTGCCAAAGTGTGCACAGTCATTTATTTTTAGTATAGGTTTTAAAAGTATTTGTATTATATCTCTAAATTATATATTTTTTATTTTATTATTATTTTTTATGCATCATGTCTTTTTATTCCTCTATTCCTCCTTTACTACCTTTTTATAATAAATAAATTTTTTTCTGGTGTACCATTTCAATTCCTTTGTTTTTTGTTTTTAATTTTACTTTTTGGAATGATTTTCTTAGTGGTTCTTCTGAAGAAATCATGGTATAGATCTTAACTAAAAACTGTCTTTCAGATAATGCTGACTTAATTCCAATAAACTGTAGAAACTTTGCTCCAATATAGCTCTATTCCTTCCCCCTCTCCTTTGTGATATTATTGTCATATATATTAATTCTTCATATGTTAAGTCCCCAAAGTATAGTTTTATAATTATTCTTTTATGCAACTGCCCATTAAATAAATTAAGAGAAGAGGGAAGAACTATCTCTTTTATTTAAACACGTAATTACCTTTACTCATGCTCTTTATTTCTTTGTGTGGATTTGAATTACTGTCCAGTGCCATTTCCTTTCAGCCTGAAGAACTTGTTTTAATGTTCTTTGTAAAGCAGATCATATTTATCTGGGAATATCTTTATTTTGCCTTCATTTTTGAAATTTAGTTCTACCATATGAGGGATTTTTGATTGAGTGTTTTTTTCCCCATTACTCTTAATATGTCATCACACTGCTTTCTGTATCTCCACCATTTCTGATGAAGAATCAGCTGTTAAACTATCAAGTACCCCTCCCCATTGTATGTGAATTGTTTTTCTCTTGCTACTTTCAAGATTTTTTTTCTCTTTTTTGCCTTTCAACACTTTGACTGTGATGTATCTCAGTGTAGATTTCTTTGTGTTTTTTTTTTTCTACTTTGAGTCTACTGAACTTCTTGGATGTGTAAATTAATGTTTTCTGATCAATTTGGGGAAGTTTTTGGCTATTATCTCTTCGACTATTTTTTCTGCCCCTTTCTCTTTCTCTTCTTCTCAGACTCCAAGTATTCATATGTTGGTACGCTTAATGGTGTCATAGATTTCTCAGGTTCTGCTAATATTTCTTTATTATGTTTTCTTTCTGTTCTTTGGATTAGACAATTTCTATTGTTTTATCTTCAAGTTTACTGATTATTTTTTTTTTGCCAGCTTAAATCTGTTGTTGAGCCACTGTAGTGAAATTTTCATTTCATTTATTGTACTTTTTAACTCCTGAATTTCAAAATGGTGTTTTAAAAATTATTCTTCTTTACTGATAGTCTTTATTTGATGTCGTTATTATCATATATTTTTTTAGTTCTTTAAACATAATTTCTTTTAGTTCTCTGAACATATTTATAATACCTGCTTTGAAGTATTTGTCTGGCAAATCCATCACCTGGTGCTTTTCAGAGACAGTTTCTCTTGCCTGCATTTTTTTTCTTGTGCATGGGTCTCACTGTCCTGTTTTTTGTTTTTTGTTTTTTTTTTATGTCTCATAACTTTTTGGAAAAACTGAACATTTCGATAATATATTATAGAACCTCTGGATTTTGATTTTTCTCTCCCCTGCATTTGTTGTTGCTATTTTTGTTTCTTGTTTATTTAGTGACTTGCCTGGACTAACTGTATATTTCTCTTTCC